GTAGATTAGTGCCAACCAATCGGCTAGCAGCCTGCTCTCACCACACTCGTCCCCCCGTCAAATAGCTTTGTGCGCAGACGTTCCGACCTTCTGGGTGCTACATCCTCTAGTTGAGGATTGTTACTGACCGGCTTGTCCCACTGTACCCATCTTTGTAGCTGACTGGCGTTAACTCGTTTCTGTTTATCACCTCTTCGGATGGTATATACTTGACCCCGTCTTTTTGTGATTGTGTATGGTCCTTCCCACTTTGGAAGGAGTTTCCGTGAACCTAGCCCGCCTCCAACTGTATATCTCCTGTCTCTACACTTCACTTGGTCCCCGACTGCAAAAGTAATGCACTGCGTCCTTTCTTTCATCTGAGACTTCGTGACATCACTGCGCTGCTTCCGTATTACATTCTTGACTGCCTCTTTCCTCTCTGCTTTTAATTTCGTCGTACTCCACTTTTGGTGCATGGGCCAGGTCTCATTGTGTACCGGTAATCGTGGTTTTCTGCCATACATCAGTTGGAAGGGTGACTTCTTCGTTGTTTCCTGAGTGGTAGCCCGATGTGTTAGTAAAATCAGTGGAAGCTCCGTTTCCCAGTTCCCGCCCTTCGAAGCCAGCCACTCTTTCAGTGTACGGTTGTTTCTCTCCGTTAGGCCATTCGTTTGTGGATGGTATGGGGTCGTTCTGATCCTCTTGATGCCCAGCTGTTGCAAACGGGAAGTAAACTCTTCACTCTCGAAACAGGGACCTTGGTCTGTCAGTATTGTCTTCGGTACGCCGTGGTCTGCAACAATGTGTCTAACTACTGCATCTGTCACGGTTCTTGCACGTTGGTCTGGGATTGCTACGGCGTCTACCCATCGTGTCGCGTGTTCCGTCATCACCAAGAGGTACTGATTACCATTGGATGTCTGAGGAAATGGACCCATGACATCTACGGACCACAAGTCACCTATCGCGGTAACTGGAATCGACTGAAGTGGTGGTCGTATATACCGGTCACCTTTCATCAGCTGGCACCGTGGACATCCAAGTACGTATCTTGCTACGTCTTCTCTCATACCTGGCCAGTACATACTTTGTCTTAGGAGGTCGGTCGTTCTGGCCACGCCTGTATGCGCTAGCTGGTGACATTCTTCTATCATGTCGTGGCGCGACGATTGAGGTATGACAGCCAGCCAGCTTCCGTCGTTCTCTCGCCAGGTCAGAGTCCCGTAGGCATTCACTCTGAGTCGATCCCTCTGTCTGAGTAGTGTGGTTAGCTCCTTACTCGCCGTAGTTTGATCCACTTCTATTCCGTTGGTGATCACCTGTATTACTGTATTCAGCGTATCGTCCAACCTCTGCCTACGTGCAAGTCTTAGTGGGTCTTGTTCTACTGCATGCACTCCGTAAGCGACCTCGGGCAACTCAGACTCATCTTCTGGTCTCGATAACAAATCTGCCAAGACATTTTCACTTCCAGGAACGTGTGAGATCGTAAAATCGTATTCCTGAAGACGCAACATCCACCGTGACAACTTCCCCCGTGGGTCTCTCGCTGTCTTCAAAAATTGTAGCGGCTTATGATCAGTTTCGATGTGGAACCGCCGGCCGAGTAAATAAGGTCTCCATTTGTCGACTGCCCATACCATTGCTAAACATTCTTTCTCTATCGTTGAATACTTTCTCTCTGTGAGGGTCAACACCCTACTGGCATACTCAACGATTCCCTCGTCCTGTCTTAGGACCGCACCTATAGCGTAGTCACTGGCATCTGTGCACACTGTGAACTGTCTTCCTGGCACAGGTAGTTTTAGCGTCATTTGTTGGTGGTCGAGCAGCTGTTTAATTCTGTCGAATGTCCTCTGCGATTCTTCCGACCAAACAAACTTTGGCTCACCTAGTAGCCTGTATAGAGGGGCTGCTATCTCATTGAAGTTCTTCACGAAGCGACTATAAAACGCTGCTCTACCCAAGAATTGTCTCAGTTTTCTCTTTGAATTCGGGGCTGGAATCGTTTTAATCGTCAAAATTTTCTCCGGCAGTGGTTTAATCTCACCATTTCCCACTTTATGTCCCAACAGAGTAACATTCTTTTTGGCTATCTGAGACTTGGTTTTGTTGACGCGTAGTCCAAACTCTTCGATGCGTCGCAGCACGGCTTCTACATGGTTGACGTGATCGTTTTCGTTCTGACTGTATATGACGAGATCATCACCATAAACCTCCACGTTTTTCAAGTTCTTAAGTAATAGCTTCATCAGTCGCCTGAACGTAAACGGTGCACCTGCTAGTCCAAACGGCATGCGTTTAAATCGATATTGCGTCTGACCCACGATGAAAGCCGTCTTATCTCTGTCACTTTGTTTTATCGGTATCTGCCAGTATCCTGAGCGAAGATCGAGAACCGAAAACACATTCGCACCTTGTAGTCGATCTAAGGTTTCTATCACTGTTGGCATGGCACACGGTCTTAACTCTGTCATACTGTTTAACTGTCGGAAATCAACACAGAATCTATATTTCCCATTCGCTTTTTTTACTAACAGCACTGGAGAGTTGTATGGGCTATCAGCTTCCTCAATAATATCATCTTTTAACATCTCTTGCACTTGTCGCTCCACTTCGCCTTCCAGATGACATGGAACTCTTCGCGTTAAAAATGACCTTACTTTAGGATCACTTAACGGAATTTCATGATTCACCTTATCGCAATAACCGTATGGGTCCCATCTCCAGTGAACAGATGATCGTATTTATTAATTAACTCTGTCACATTGTGTACCGTCGACAGCTTAATCGCTGCTATCTCGCTGGTCTCATACATGTTGATATGCCCGTATTTCGTGATCACCACGTTCGCTTGCGTGTCGATTATGGCACCAATCTCACGCAGAAAATCCGCTCCTAATATCGTTCGCTGTAGTTCGGGTACAACAATGAAAGGAAACGTCACCTCGCAGCCACCAACAACGACCGTACAGTTCGATCTACCCGTGATACGCAACACATACCCGCCTACTGTTTGTACTGTCAATGAACACGGATTAACACTCTTACATAAATTCTTATCTATTAACGACACGGCCGCTCCTGTATCTATCAAACATACTACTTCTCGATCATTCACTCGCAACTTCGAATACAGAGCGCCTTTCTCAATAGCCCCCACTAAACCTAGGTTCATACGAAAGAAAGAACAAGCATTATACCGTCTGAAATTTTTTCTTTTTCGCCTTTCTGGGCAGTATCTTCTCCAGTGTCCCGGCTTACCGCATTCAAAACACCGGTCTTTTCTATCAGCCAACTTTAACGCCGCCACTTCCCGCTGCAATGCTTCAATTTTTGCTCATATTCGTTTGGTTTTGGTTGGTCTATAGCGGCTACCGTTGTGCTCAGCAGCTGTCTGGTCACCTTCGCCAGCTCACTAATATCCATCGGCTGCGTTGCGTTAACCAGTTTTAATCGCTGAGAAATGTGGTCGGGGACACTCTCGATGAATTGGGAAGACAGTAACTGCGCTTCTGATTCTTCATCTAAAGTGGGAAGCGCGCGTCGAAGTAGATTAGTCAGTTTCACCGCCAACACTAGCGGGTCTCCATCAGGTCCAAGCTTCATTGACCGGAACTGCTGCATTGCTAGCTGTCTGTCTGTTTCGCTGTCAAACTCGGACACTAGTCGTTCAACCAATTTCTTCCAAGACGCTGTGCCATTTGACCTGTCTACGCTGTCATATGCAGCCTTCGCTCGGCCTCTCAACAGCGTCCCCAGGACAACTGCCTTCGCCGCCTGCTCCTTGACACCCACCAGCTCAGCAACGGCTTCGAAGTCACGTAAGAAGCTCCGTATGTCACCTTCTTCAAACGCAGCTGGCCACGGGATCTTCATCTTCTTGGAGGCAGCGACACCAAATGTAACAACAGAAGACAAGGGCTGGCAACAGATCGTTTTATTACGAAAATCAACACGTATTTATATATATTTTATATGCATTAATAAGGCTTATGCAAGCAGAAAAAGGCAGTCTTCTGATTGGTTGTTTCTCGGAAGTTAAGCAGACAAACACAGTCTTATGATTGGTTGTGTTCGATATTTCTCGGAAAGTAGAGCCATCTATCTGCGAATCATATTTGTCCACATTTAGGTTTGCTGTGATTGGTTGTTGAAACAGCCTTGTTCACGGTCAATATTAGTGACCTAGACATTAACGTAGATTAGTGCCAACCAATCGGCTAGCAGCCTGCTCTCACCACATATATATCCAAACCAAGTTCACTTTTAACGGTTTGAAAAAATTTGGGCATTGGGTATATGATATTCATTATAATAGAGGTTTTTTGTATTTCCCAATGAATGAAAAAAACAATCTCGTTTTGTTTTTTCATTCATTGGGAAATACAAAAAACCTCTATTATAATGTATGATCGCACGTCTAAGTATAAAAATTCGATGATACCATACTTGGCACGTATTATATGTGATCAAAATAGTGTCAGGCAAGAATTAACTAACCTTTTTTCATCCAGTAAATAAACAATTTCCTCCATCCATCCTTATATACCTTCAAGTTTTACTTTTATTATTTCTATTATATTTATGGTCCTGTTACTTCTCTGTTTTACTCTCATAATTGCAAACACCAACTTATCTCCATGACGGCTGTAATCTTTGTTTTTCCCCTCACCATATCATGTAAAGAGAACGTTATATTCAATATTTTTAAACATGTTAGGATTTCTATACCACATTGCCAATACTGTGTGACACAAGCCAACGGCAATTTTCACTTGTATTCTTATTATTATTACCCTAGCTGTTATCATTATTATTATTTCCATTTTATATGCTACATGTTTTTGACACTACCTATATTTTTAAATGTGGAAAATTTTCTGTGTGATTAATTTTATTTATAATTTGAGGAAATTAGATGCAATATTGTGATTAATGCTGAAAATTCCATTCTGTATCACAAGTACTGTTTTTGGAATAAAGTAAATCATTATTATTATTATTAAATCTCTTACCGAATTCTCTTTTCTCTCCTCCAACATCCTTGACAACGTTCTTTTCGACGTCTCAATAAATCACCGTAAGATGAATGGGCTATAGGTTATGAGAAAGGTAGAAATAAACACATGGTTAGTAAAGACTTTATTCACAATTAAATTTAGTTAAATTTGACAGGACTACAAATAAATTATCAGTATGCTTATCACACTCAGCATGAAAAATAAGATCCGGATTTTCAACTCCAATGTGAAGTCAGTGCTACTCACTATACGGATCAGAGACTTGCACTGTGCATCATAAGAAGCATCTCAAACAAACTTCAGACCTTCATCAACAGCTGCCTTTGCTCAATACTCAAGATCAGATGTCCAGAAAAGATCAGAAACAGGGATCTCTGACAATGAGCGAACCAACCAGGAACGGATTGTGAAACAAATAGGCAGGAAGAAATGGAGATTGATCGGTCATACGCTGAGGAAACCATCAGGTGACATCACTAGACAAGCCCTCGAATGAAACCTGAAAGGGAAGCGGCAAGTTGGTCGCCCAAGGGTGACTTGGAGGAGGTCATGTTAAGGGGAGATGAAAGCATTTGAGCAGACTTGGAGCCAGGTGAAAAGTTTGACAGAGAACCAAACGCAATGGAGACGCGCGACTGAAGCCCTGTGTTCCTCTAGGAATTAAACGAAATAATAATATTATTCTTATCATATCAGTGAAATCTCTCCTGTTAAGAATTGTAGTTACTTACATTCAGCTGAAACATGTAGATGTTTAACACAAGCTACTGTAAATAGTATGAAAAAAGTTGAGTTTGGTTTTTCTTCAATAACATGGGAGTTTACATTCACAGATGAATGATAGATAGTGCAATATGATGATATACTCTTAAATTCAAGTAACAGCTTGGTATCGCTTTACTTCTTTTATCAAGTTATAATAGAATAATGCAGATGGTTCAGAGACTTGGTGCGTCAAGACAGTTATTCCTGACAGGCTTCTGATTGTTATCAACATATGACTTAGCTCCATACTGAGGATCAAATGACCGGTCAGAAAGGAATAGCCACAAAGAACACAAACCAGGCAAGAATTTACTGAACAACAAATATGCGAAATGAAATGAAAATAGACTGAACGCAAAACGAATACACCGCTGAGAGATATAACGCGCCAGTCCATCATTCCAGGGGGATCCTTAATGGGAAACGACAAGTTATGCATTTGTCAAAGGGTGAAACGGAGGAGATCATATAAGAGGGCAATGAAAATTTTTGGACAATCCTGCAGCCAACTAAAGATAGCTGCACAGAACATTATAAAGTGGAAGTGTACCTTTGAGTCCTCATATTTCACCCGGTAGCCAAGGGAATAATAATGATAATACTAATAATATAATAGTTTAAATAATTCGAAATAAAACAATCAAGTCCATTCCATCGATTGTTTTTTCTCCCTCAATTATTTATGGTTCAGATCATTTAAAACATGATAAAATATGAAAACAAGCAAATATTTTGTTGAGCTGAATGAAACAAAGAAAGCCTTCTTTTCATTGCGTGACTACATATTGTAGCAAGAAGGAAAACCTGTCTAACAATGGTTAATAATAATAATAACAATAAGGTGAATTTGATTTAGATTCCAACAATGAAAAAGGAGGTTCAGCGATACAAAGCATATATGGCTATTTTTTAAACGGGAATTTAGGCCTCGTTTTTCATTCAAGCATTTCAAAAGGTTAAAAGAAATTATAATGCCTAAGTGCTGATGGCAAAGAAGTGAATCGAAAGATTACAGGAAATCTATTATTGCTCTTTCATAGTTTTAAGTGGAACATAGGGCTTAAACACCACATCTCTGTTTTCACCCTGCTTTCTGAGGTCATCTTAAGCTGGCTCCACGATTTTTCATTAGCCTCCATCTTCTCCTCACAAGATCCCATTCATGCCAAACTCTGACCTGTATTGAACTCACCGTTTCCTACTAATATTCCACTCGAGTGATGGCCTTGCACGAGTTATTACTCGGTGGCTTACTCAGCTTGTAACCTATCCATCTCCGCTTTCTTCGGCGTATTTGTTTAGTATTTATTTCCTAGTTGGTTCATTGCAATCCGGAGCTCCCCAGTGGTCATCCTTTCTGGCAGATCATGTGATCAATAAGGATGGTTTGGGGGTAGCTGTCAATAAAAGTCTATAGCCTTTGGTGACAAGCCAAGTCACTGTACCAGATAGGAGCACTGACTGACTTGACGCTACTTTTGAAACTCATGGAGTCATAGTAAGTTATTAGTTATAATATCAGGCTATTAGAGATGAAAGAATGAAGAGCACTATTAAGTGAGAAAAAATGACATCTATGATGCCCAGCTCACGTATGTACGTGTGCGATCAGAATGTCCGAAATGTGTTGCGCCAATACATTACACGTTTCAGATAAACTACGTCTTCTTACTGCGTTGTCAAAATTCACAAAGGGAACTAATTGCTTTAAATTATTAATTTTCTGTTTTAAATTAACTGATGCCTAACTATTTGCTGGATACTTCAAGTGAACTGTGAACACTAGAGTCTTGGACCTTTTGAAATGTGTGTTTACTTCTCTCTGTGAAATGATTTTTACAGCCCGCATAATAAAGAGATCTTCTCAAAATAGAACATTTCAGACGTATAAGTCCCAGTAGGACAGAGAACTTCAAGCTTGATCCCTAAATTTTCCGTAGTGGTTATTTTGTCTTTCATGGAGTGAGGTCGGATAGCCTCACACCAAACCTTTCCTCTTTACCAGGCTTAAAATTGGCTAGTAGACTGAGAAATCGAACCCTGAACCACTCGTGTGCTTAGCGAACCCTCTACTGCTCAATAAGCCAAAATGAGCCCTATAAATGTCACTTTTACTTGATTTTCCAATACTTGGGTTAAGATTAGTTTTTCCGATAGCTGTAAAAGTGATATGGGGCGCCTTTGTGGTCTAATTTTCGACCTGCTTATGAAATGTATCAGTATATAAATGCAAGAGACAATTCACAATAACATTGAGACGAATTTTCCATTAATTTCAATACTAAAGCACTATCAACTAATTTGATGGAACTAGATCAGGTAGATCATATTCAATGAGTGCAAGCAGTAGTTCGATCTCCCAGCACCATAGTAGTCCGCTCGCAGTGATATCATTAAAATAATTTCTGTTTTGTATATCAAGTGTGATGTCAAATATGAACGGGGGTTCCTGATGTCCAATAGTATTTTCCAGTCATTCTTGAGAAGTAGACAAACGGGAATTAAGAACTGTAGAACCATTGTAGATAAGAACGCTTAAAAACAATTTAAGGAATTCATCTAAATTCAGTGCTTTGTGAAATACCAGGATGTAGAAGATAAGGCAGTTATATCTCTATATGTTTATTTTGTACGACTGTGCACTATGAGAAATAGTCGAATATTCATGCCGCATACAAGTTGGGAAGAAAATCATCTATCTATCGTCGGAAGAGTTAAACTGCTTCATTTGAAGATAAGCTCTAAGTTTTTATTTTATGTTTAGGGAAGAATTACACCGATGTATAGTTGGGTTACCTGCTGAACTTTTGTTTGCGGTATATTCTTCTTCTTAAAAACAGAAAAGAAAAACAGCTACTGTGTAATACACACTGACATTTAACTGGTACTACAGCTACATGAACCAAACGTTAGTTCTGTACTTAGTGAATTTTATTTATCCTTATTTTTTTATTTTATTCGTCTACGCTCTCAGTGGAATATACGGCTTCACGCTGGAGGCTTCAGTTTTCCGTAGCACTGGTGTTTTATTTTTTACGGGGTAGGGTTGCTAGCTTCATCCTCGACCCTCCCTCTTTACCTATCTTATTACTGGCCTAGCGAAATTAAAGAGTTCGTTGACCCAGGGTCGAACTCTATGGTACACGCGTGGTAGGCGAGAATTCTACCGATGTGCCACCGACACACGAATTTTACTAATTAACAAATTATCAGGTCACTTTAATGCCGTCTATAAAATGAACATAAGCACCTAAGGGAATCTGAAAATTCTGCTAAAATATCTTAACTCACAGGGAGAGGTGAAACTATTAACTGCTATTAAAAGAAAAAAGTTTGAGTTATGGCAGGATTTATACCGGCAGAATCTTAACCCTTATTTCGAATCTCTAACAGCTAAACTGTGTGACTCAACTACTAATTAAGTCATCATTTCACTGCAATCGCTGATATCTCAGATAGTCTGACCTTTGACTTTAATTATTGTTAAACGTTTCTGAATTATAATGCCATATAATTGAAGAAATGAAGCCCTTTGATAAGACGCTATTCAACTTTATTTTGCTCACATAGTACATTATGCAGTATCAGTGAAAACTTCCCACAACCTTTCCTTATTTTAGGAATTCTTACATTCCTCCAGAACAGTTGTAAAACAACTGTTTCTATGTAAATTCTTTGCCTTCAGTGTTTTTGTCACCTGCACCGTTCTACCTGATATTTCATAATGTCCTTAGTTTCTTGGACAGCATAGTTTCCATCATAAGGCTACGATGAATCTCGGATGAATAGTGATGACATAAATCTCTACAGCAAAGAGTAAGATGTCAAGCAACAGTTTGTTGTCTTGTTGGACTAGTAACTGTAAAATAAAGCAGGTGGAAAACTGTGTAATGAGGTTAAATGTAAAAGTTAAGATATCACTAAGTAATCCTCACCTTTACTCTGAATTACAAGCTCTCAAAATCACTTCAAAGCTGTTTACTGTTGTCACACTCATGTAACACTTTGTCTACAGCACCATCACACTTAACACTGGTGAGGAAGGTTAGTCACTGCCGTAATCAATGACCCAACTATAATCTGTCTACTGTGTACATCACACAATGAAACAGTATTGTTTACCGGAAAACAGTTGAAATGTTCAGGAACAATAAATTGTGGTTGAAACGTTATCCAGTAAATAATACTGTTTCACTATATGAAATATCCTTCGAACAAATTAATGTGGAATTACTTACTACTGTAGTATCCAAGTTTTACTTCAGATATTCAGGAAGTGTAGGCAAGAAAATATCTTGTACCTACGAGTTAGCTATTGGCTCATAAAGTGATTACGTTAAAATAATCACTTAGGTAAATTCATTTGCGTCCTGGTGGGGAACAGAAAGGGAAATATTGGTGGCACAAATAAGCTATTGAAAGTCACTATGCATAATTCTGTGGTGTAGTGGAGATTTGATTTTGAAAGTACCTGCAAATAGTCCACGGTGAAGTTCGGGAACTACTTTGTGTATCAGGCATTCTCTTCATGAAAGGGAGCATTCGTCTTCAAATTCTAGCAATTAAGTTAAAAATTTTCAGGCCATGATTGTGCGCACAAAATAAAGACGTCTCTGATAATCTTTTAAATTCTCATGGGTTGGATTTTAGGAATTCAGTTCATTTCAAGTTGTGACTATAGGGGTCCACTGAATCATTTATATATATCAGTCATGTAGAAATTAGAATTCATGGGCCATCGGATCTCATCTGAGTGGCTGATTGGTTAGCGGGATCTTTCTGTAAACTGAATATCCTAGGCACAATCCACTGTGTTTATTCAGGCATACTTACTGATGGAGAATCCCTAACTTGAGTGAAACAGCTGTCTCGTATTCCCTGGCTTTTGATGGTTCTCCAAATGATATCATGGAGAGATCCAACCTGAAATTTAAGTGTTGCCTTTATGTTGATTATAGAATACAGTATAAGCAAATGCATATTTACGGTAATTTCTCACAGGGCTTTACAACTACATATTGGATTTGTTCTTCATGGAGAATCTGTGTTATTTTCAGCTAACATGGTTTATGGTTGAAGCATACAAATCGATGGGTAGTGATGATAATCAAGGCGATAATGGTGACAGCAATAGAGATGAAGACAGAATCACACTATTGGTTATGTAATCCAGGTAATTAGTTGTTTTAGACGTTTAACAAGGTCCAAGTTAAAATTAAAGCACCAGTGAGTACCAATGGAGTGCTACTTCACCAGTGTCCTTGAAACGCTCACTGAGCAAGTTAGTGAACCCTGGGAAATAACATTAAAATCATGAATAAAATATACCCGATGGTGTTTTAGGTTATTAGATGAAATATCTAGTAAGTTTCAGGTTAGGTTTGAGAAAGATTAAGTTAAGGTTTAGGCTAAGGTTATGTTAGGGTTAAGTTAACCTAATAAGGGGGATATTAGGATTGGTTCGAGTTAGATTAGGGTTATTGTTAGGGTTAGAAAACCTAGATAAATACATGCGTAGAATGTAGTTAAATCACTCTGTTGATACTCCAATCCTAAGCTGAAAGGCATTTTGTTACACGTCAGATGAAGTTATCCTGTGAGACGGTTGTATGCCTTTTAATTCATTATTCTCTTGAATGCGTGTAATATGTAAGTAAAAATCTCCCCTATTATATTATTGATGTGTTGAAGGTCATTTCTCAATTGGTACTTATTGGTGCTTGAAATCTAACTTCGCTGTAATCAGATAGTGTCAATGCTGGTGGGGGTAAAGTGCAAAAATAACTGTTATCTAATAGTAGTTAGACAATATTCTATTCACTTTTATAACAAAAGTTTTTATTCAACCATCAACTCTCCTGCAGACCTGTAATAGCTCTAAGAAAATCTGATGTGTTAAAGTTTTATTTATTGAGTAGTTTCATACGTGTATTGAGAGAAAAAAACAATTACTTGTTCTGCATTTTATTTACCTACTTCGGCTAATATTTTCTTTGTGTAATTCGATAGCCTGGCTAAAATTACCATTTATGTTTGTTGACTGAAATTGACTGTAAAAGCCTTTTACATAAAAAACATTTCTGCCAATAGCGATTGGCTGTAAACACAAAATTACCTACGGTTCTAGTGAAAGTCGTGACCAGTGATGTCTACCAACCCAAAACACTGTCTGAAGACTGTACTACATATATCGGAAATTCATGAGCCGCTGGATATGGTCCCAATGGCTGAATGTTCTACTAAATTGCCTTGTTACCGGGAGGTCGTGGGTTCAAACCCTGGTGTGTGTGAGTACAGATGTAGAGTTCTTAACTAGGACGAAATGGTTGTTCAGTACTTCCCGTTTCTCCAGTAGTTGTCTAACTGATGTCAGCTAATGATCGAACTCGTAAAACTACAGAAAAACAAAACCTTTCAGAATCTTGGGCAATGAATTATCACAGCGAGCTGCCCATCTTCGAAAAAGTACAAAAATGAGAAGTGAATACAAGTCAAATAATGTTACAATCAGTAAACATAAATGTACAAAAAAGCGACAAGAACTAAATGGCGATTAGCAGAAAAATTAGTACTCCCGTAACACATCGATGGTCATCGATAAGAACAAATCTTTGAAATGCCTGAGGCTCTAATTCATGGTATTGGTTGGTCTCAGACCAACATATTTTATGTCTCAGTTCTCAAAACATAATAACATCGTTCCTAGAATAAAACCATCGAAATGATAGTAAGAATGTGTGGCTTAGGTGGGTGATTTCAGTTTTGTCGGGTTTTCTGAACTGGACAGCTCAAATGAGAAGTTTTTATTATCCTTCTGGACACCATCTGCAGCGCAGAGTTCAAGATGAAGTGAGTTTTTAGATCTTCCTGTGGAAATAACAAGAATCTGCGCTGATTAAACTGAACGTTAGTGACCACTGCTTGATTATTTTATGAAGAGTGAATTCTAAAACCTTATTCCATCTTCAAGTTAGCCATAAAGTGTTGTCGAAGAAGAAGGTGAAACCTTCGCAATTAAACTATCCAGCTTACAAAGAGCCCAACTACACCAAAGTCAAAATTACTTGTTTAGACTATTTAGAGTTATGGTGAAAATTTGAAACATCTGCCTCTGTGGGTTTAATTTTTCACTTGCTGAAGTTTGTGCTACTGTATCATTGTAAATCAATGTCGTTTTAAGCGAAAATTATTGAAAACACATAAATAAATGCCCAACTTACTTTTTGATTCAGCAAATAATTCAGAATCTTCAAAATTTGATTCATTAAATGATGCATCTTTGCCTGCTTGTTTAAGTCGTTGTTTAGCAGCTCTTCGGCGGGCTAACAAAATAAGATTAAATTTTATTTTTAAAATACGAAAACAGAACAAAAATGGCTGAATTCAACATAAAAGAAGAACGAATATGAAAGATTAAAAAGAGTATGTCTGTCTGAGGCAAACTAATACAATGAATGTATACTTCAGATAACTAACTAATCCTTGTTTTCAAAATTCTGTGAAACTTTAAAAGAAAATCTTCAAATTAAAAAACTCTTAATCTTCCTTACTAATGCCCTTAAAACTATTGAAGATTCATGAAGATTTTGTCACTCTAATTCTAATATTTTATCTGATAAAACTTTCAACACCAGTTTGATGTTTAGCAATAGAATCACATACCCAAAGGATGCACTAATAGGAACAGCACAAGGCTGTAGAATTATAAAAGCTCCTGGAAACTTATGAAATAAAATTCAGATAAGCATTAAAAGTTTACGGTCGATTTCCGATACTGAGAAGTGTAGACACTGAATTTTATGAAAAAAGATCAAGGTTCTGACAAGGTTGTGCTATAGATCTTTTTGAAATTCAAAATATTTTGACTTTACACAATCCGCTTGTATTATTATCCCCATGAGTTTCTGGTGCAACATATGGTTTCAGCAGCCCATCCCCATTTAAATCTGTTCTCTGAAGTCCTTTTAATCCGACCCCTCCATTGCCCATAAGCTCATATCTCCTTACGTCACTCATTTACGTCCAGCTTGGCATTTCCCCTTTGAGTTCAACTCTAGGGTCTGGTGCATGATGTCAGCCAACGGTCTTTTCAATACATGACTAATCCATTTACATTCCCTCCCACATATTCGTTAGACAATAGGTTCGTTTGGTTGGCTCATTGCTTACCAAAGATTTTTGTCCCTAATCCTTTCTGGTTCATCGCCTGATCTGCAGTTAGCAATGGATGAAATTCTGACGTCTGAAGGAAAAGCTTGTAGTGATAAGTGTACCAAGTCTGTGAACCATCCAGGAGAACTGATTTAACATTAGTGTTAAATATAAGAATCCTGCTTTTTATGCTTAATGTAGCAGATTTCCACATTGGTTTCAGAATAATAATAAATATCTGTCTTGGTTTTCCTATCTAGTCCTGACTAGCTCTAACAGCCTTATCTGTGCTGCCTTTGGTTAACACGATGCTGCCTAGATAAGTAAATGAGGTGATATCGTTCTAATTTCTTCTGGTTTTATTGTTGGTTGACTACTTTCATCACTTCTGTCTACCCTGTGTTCACTTGAAGTCCTGTAGTTGCTGTCTGCCTCTTCTGCCAGCCTGTTAGTTTTCTCTTATTTACTTTCAAATCCGTGTGATATTACACATAGAGCCTCGTCAAAGTCCCCTTGAAACTCAGAATAATATCAGGCATGTCAAACGGAAGAACCATTCCAAAGATAAGGCTTGCACACACCCTAAACTGATGTGACTAGTTTTCAATTACCCAGAAAAATTAGCAGGATCTTTGTAATGGAATGACTGTTTGGGAAATCCCGCCTGAACCATCTAATTATATTATTGATACTTATATTATAATTTTCATCTAACTTTGTAACTGTTATCCGTTTTTCTCCTAGACTTTGTATCATTGTTATAACGCTTGCATATAATTTGTTCACTCAGTCTTGGCTGATTACCTTTGTCCACGTTCAGTCTTCAATTTTAATGCTCCTCTTTGTGGTTCTGTGATAATAATGATAATGTGTTGTCTTATGCCTGAGATTTTCTCTGTTTGGGTCGACATCATTCAGATCTTAAACTGTCTGCCGGAAGTGTCTAATGTGTAATTCTTGCATACAGAATTTTGATCCCACCTATCTGGAAATAGTCTACTTGTTTCTAAGGTATATCCTACAGGTGACTTAAGTCACATAATTCTGTAGCACACTCCTTGTTTTACATCTATGATTAGATGTTATCTGTATATCTGCATAAAGGCATTGTTGGGGTAGCTGTTATTTTGCTGTTGTTAGGGCGTTTCGTGACTGTGAGTAACTCAAGAAAATTTTAGTCAGCTATACAGTAGAATGCATAGGTCAGTATTCTGCGTTCAGACCACAACAAGTCGGTTTCGATGGTTAAAATATTTTCTTGTTGTTGTTTTACACGGATCCATTCAATCCCTACTGAAATCCTCTAGTGTCTAAATAAATCAAATCAAATTACCGATTAAAACACAAGTCTTATTCAAGTATTAGTTTGTAAGGATTTAATTGGTTAGTTACAGGATTTCATTATGAGGTGACATCGGTTAGAGAACCGTTGGAAAACCTGGGAGTAACGGAGAGCTGTTTGGTCCACCGGGGTTCGAACACATGATGAAATCCTGTAACTAATCAGTCAAATCCCTACAAGCCAATACTTTAATAGCAGTCAGATGCTCACTAACTACTGGCCCTATTCAGGCAGGGGTTCTAGAGGGAAGTCGTGACCAGTGAGTACAGCAGGTGAGGCATGAGAACGAATACTTGCCGAAGACATTTGCTAGTGGTCGCGCTATGGTGTGAATTTGCAGAAGCTGGAATTAATGGGAAACTGGTTCGGGTCCCAGATTTCGAGTAGGGGTTTACGAGCTCGCCTTGTAACCAAAAGGTGGTGGGTTCGAACCCCGTTCGATACGTACTGATGAAGAGTCCCAAACCAGGACGAAACAGCTGTCCAGTACTTCGTGCAGATTTCCCAATGGTTCTCTAACCAGTGTCAGCTTACGACGAAATCCTGTAACAAGTCTTATTGTTGTTGAATGATCTCACTCGGAGGCTATTCAACAATCCGTAAAACCACTTCTACTTAGCTTCGAAGTAAAGCGAGACTTTTCTTGAAGAACAAAATTCATAACAATGTATTTATTATTCCATGTAAATATATACACACCACACCCAATGTACTATTAACACACACACACTCAAAAAATTAACAGTTTTTAGGAGTCCAGCTTAGCCATCCTACTTTCTAAGGTTCATTTTTGCAAAGAACCATTTAGTTTATAACGCCCCACATTCTACGAAAAAAGTTGGCTATGCACCAGTTAAAAGTACAACAACTCAAATTCCATTCATCCCCAGATTAAATTCACACAAATTAAAACCTGAAAATCACTGACCCAATTAAACTTTTACAAATCTAAGCTGCAGTCATCTATTTACTATAAAATCACTGACACTAGACAGAGTCTAATAATTCGCTTTCTTCTCTACCTTTCTTTCTTTCCTTCTCTCCACCTACATATGGATTATTCTTTGAGAACATTATGGTTTTTTTAGGAGTTTGCGTTTTACTCTGCGGTATACAATATGCATGACATCAAATAATTAACCTCAAATGATTTTCATTTTTATTCTCTGCTCTTTTTTCTCTTAATCTCTTTCCTGTCTTAGTAACTTCTTTTTTTCTTTTTGTTTTACTGATTATATTTGGGGTGACCTTGAAAACGATATATATACGCTATGTATACCTGAAATTCATAATTTATAACATAAATTAGACTAAGTTGTAGTCATTAAACTAAAATGGAGAAAATGGAAATGCTACTTTTCCTCAAATTTACTACCACTTTATTTGTGAATGAACGGACAAACAAATTGTTGTTTTATTTTAAGCGGTTGGAGGATTTCATCATGAGCTGACATCAGTTAGAGAACCATTGGAAAACCTGGAAGTACTGGACAACTGTTTCATCCCAGTTTGGGACTCTTCACCAGTACACACATACCGACAGGGTTCGAATCCAGGGTGTTCTGATCGCAAGGCTGAGGAGCTCGTAGACCATTAAGCCACTGGGACCTGACCCGATACAATGGCCAGCCCATGAATTCTAAATTCTGCCAATCCATGGTATAGCGCGACCATTTCGCAATATCTTCTCGATGAGTTATTGCCCCACCTGCAACCCGCTGTACCCTACTGGTCACAGCTCCCAAAAGAACCTCAGGTTAAATTCCTGAATTGAGCCAGTCACTAGTGAGCATCAGATGAAGAAGACATTGCGAATTGGTTGCGCTGTGTCATGGATTGGCAGAAGTTAGACTTCATGCTCTGGCCATTGGATCGAGTCAAGTCCCAGTAGCTTAATGATCTACAAGCCCCCCTAGCCTTGTAACCAGAAGGTCCTGGGTTCGAACCCAGTCAGCGGGTGTGTGCTGACGAAGAATCCCAAACTGGGGCGAAACAGTTGTCCAGTACTTCCAGGTTTTCCACTGGTTCTCTAAGTGATGTCAGCTCATAATGAAATCCTCCAGCCAATAAAATAAAATAAATCCCTACAAAAACAAATTCCTGAAAATTATTGTTTCTCGAAAAGTATTTGCATTTAAATGCACTAAGAATTGAACAACACTTGCTGTTTGATAGTAGTTTACAAAGACGTGACTGAGAAATTGTACAGCATATTTAATTGTTTCTCATTTTTGTTTGGCCATATGCGTATTTTAGAGTGTTTCTACTCAATGAGAGAAATCTAAAAGATGTTACCTATCTCACTTATTTAGAGAAAATCCTTTCACCTACAGGCTATGTGATATGAGTGAAGATGTCAGAGTCAACTGAAAGCAGTTAGACGAAATAGACGTTTATTAATGTGAAATCAATTTAGAAATCTATTGCAAAATTAATAAGAAATAAGACTCGGTTTTCAACATAAATGTCAAGTCAGTCAGTTCTTCTGTATGATTTAGAGACTTGGTGTGTCACCAAAACATTTCCAGACTTCCATCAAGCTCTTTTTCGATAACTGGATACTGAAGATCAGATGGCGGGCCAGAGAGGATGAGTAATAATGGACTCTGCAGTGCAAGGAACGATTTAAGAATCTATTCTCCAAAAAGTGGGCCTGAGGAAATGGAAATGGATTGGACTGACTAGATCATTCAGTATAACTACTCCCGAAGCTATCGTGTGGAAAGTGAAAAGGAAACGATGAGTTGGTCTTCAGCTCGATTGTCATGTGGAGGAAAACGTGTGAGAAGGAGAAGAGACTTTTTGGGCAGTTATGCAGCCAGCTAAGTA